AAAAAAATTATGAATGTGCACAAATAATTAACCACATATATAAAAGGAGTTTTATGGGGCCCCCTGGTACTTGGGTCCCAAGGCAACTGCCCTAATAATGGCTAATGGTAAATCCGCCCCTGGTCAGGAGAAAATCAAACGTGTTTGAATTCATTCGGCTGTCGTAAGGTGGTCGTAGGCAAATCGCTCAGTGGGCAAACAAGGATTCTTCTTCCTCTCAGATGAAAACACAGAAGCATGGCGGGGTGCGAGTGAAATGGAGTTCTTTCTGTCAAACTGACAGACCGTAGTTGCCACGTTTGCTCAGCCATGTCTTTGTCCAAATAAGTTGTCATCTTTTCTTTTTAGGCCTTTCAGCACCAAATTGCAAAAATAGCCCAGGCAGTGCGTTTCACTCTAGTGAGCTTCATATTCCTCTTCTACTGGTTTGACTTCTGGATAAACGAGTCAGAGTAGCTCCATCTCACTGCAGAGCTGAGTCCTGTGTGGTTTTTAGACGTACAGTGTGAGCAGGTAGATCGCATCAGAGCGTCGGGTCGTACAGTGTGAGAACAAACATCCTGAGCTGGGAACTTTTAAACTCTGAGGTTTTGTCTTACAGTGTGAGCTGTAGCTCTAAATTTCGCACAGTGTGTGTGCAGGCTGTGTGACGGTACCTTAATGCAGAGCAGCGCCGCCTGTTTGGCTTCCTGATTCTCTGTGGATGGCCCTCTGAGTCCCGACTGCTCAGCTCCGCTCGGCGTCAGCCAGTTGATGAAACTCAACACTGCAGATTCTCCACTTTAACAGAATTCAGAGGACAAAGTCTATTATAGAAAAGTAACTGAAGAGCAGGTAGCTATGCTGCTGACAGAAAACTGAAACATATAGTGAAGGATTGTTTTATGCAGGGAATGAGGATCATTTACCGATTGGAAGGCATCTCTTCTCTCTGAAGGGAAATTTTCCCGTTCGGCTCCACAAAGTCCTCCATCTGATGGAATAGAACATGATGGTTTTTTTAATGCTTTTTAATTCTCTTAGAAATAACTTTAATGCCATCAAAAAGTATCCATGACTCTCATATATACGCCCCAAAATCCTTCGTCATCTTTACCGTCTGGCGAAAACTCGTTTTCCAGACAGTTTTGTGGAAATTTACATTTTCCCAATCTCTAGCTTTTTCTTCGCCTCAAGCTTCTTTTCTGAACATATGGCTTTACGATCAATGCAAAGCAGTTACGCACAAATATATCGCAATATAATATATCTTTTTTTAATAAAGCATGTTAAAAGCCATTATAATCGTATTTAATGAGTTTTAATGCCAATTAAGGCCTTAATTTTAAAAAATAATAAGTTAATGACTTTAAAAAAAATGTAAAGACTCGTGGAAATCCTGTATTAACAGTGAGCAGAAGTGGGCAGCAGTGTGCCTATGATACGGTCCTGACCTCCACCATGGCCTTGGGAAGCAGCTGGGCTCTGAAGAGCTGCAGCATGGACTCCATGATGTTCTTCCAGCCTTCCCTCAGGATGTTCCCGTGCCGATGAGCCAAATCAAAGACGGTCTTGGCAGCCGTCTGAGCTTTGCTGTTGCTGCCGAACACGGTGGGTAGGTTTTCTACAGCCTGGGGGGGGACATTTTCACAGAGAAACTGAGTTTAGATAGAATTCTGAGATAAACAGAGAGAAATAAAAGCTTCTGCTCTATACCTTTAAACTAAATAATACACATGTCATCTAATTTAAATTCAACTTAGGTCTTAAACTTTTCTCTCTGTACATTTCTAAAAAAAAAAAACAAGGTCATACAAAGTAGAAATAAAAAGGTCACGCTAGCATCCAGGTCAACAGGTAGAAGATGAGGACATTTAACCCCCAGCAGGATGCTGCTGCTTCCTCACCTCACTGGCCAGAGTGGTGAACTTGCAGAGGGAGATGATCAGGTTGTCGAACACGTCGCTGCAGCCGTAGTGAGCAGCAATCATTGCACATTTTCTGCAAACACAGACACCACATTAATCTAACCAGATCCGGAGCCAAAAGTTTTTTTCACACCATCACTGCATTTTGATTCCCAGTTAGATTATTTTAAATGAGATCCAGACAATTTTTACTTTCAACAAACATCTATGAAACAGTAGAGAAGACAAAGACCCTAACAGTTGTCCCTGTTGAATTACCTAAACGCTGACAGCTCTAAGCTCACGTACCTGAAGCCAGTGATGGCCTTCTGGATGATGCTTTCATCCAGACTTTTGTCAAAGACATAAGATAGAGCAGCAATGGTGGGACCCCAGGTCATGGTGAACAGGTCGAGGTCATAGCTGTCGGGGGGCAGGTGGAGGAAGATCCCCTCAGACGTGGCCCCGCGGTGCAGCAGGACACTCCAGACGTAGTTCTCCTTCACTAAACCCGTCTGCTCGTCCGGCATCACGATTTCCTCGCTCCTGGGGATTTCAGCATCAGTCAGAGTTTCAGATATCAAGACCAGAAAATATAACCTGAACAGAGAGAATTGGGGGCTCGTACAAAACCTTTCAGCTAACGCAACCAAATGTTTTCCTTTGGGTTCCCCCTCCCGGGTTAGCATCAGATTTAAGGAGCTTTCCAGGATTTTCAGAGCCAAGTTCTTTCAATTTCAGGGCTGTCAGACTGAACCTACTGCTGGTGCTGATGACAGCAAGTCATCAGACACAAAGCAGAACGATAACAGGACAACTCCATAAATAATGACGGCCTAGAAGCTGCAGGACCAGAACCGATGATAGAAAGTGGACTGAATGAATTGTCTACATCAGTGGTTTCAACTCGCTCCTCAGGACCCGCCGTCCTCCATGTTTTAGCTATTTCCCCATTTTTCATAGACCCTGCAGCCCCTGTTGGCCACTGAGGAGAGGGTGCATTGGGGTAATGCCGGGGGGCTACAGCAGAGACACATGCAGGACAAGAAGGACATGGAGGACATGGAGGACATGCAGGAGTGTGGGTCCAGTGGACTGAATCTGGAAACCAGTTCTCTACATTCAAATGATAATAAACAAATTTAATTTCGACGATACAACATGACGAGGTCAGAGAGACCATGAGGTCAGAGAGACCATGAGGTCAGAGAGACCACGAGGTCAGAGACCAAGTCAGAGACCAAGAGGTCAGAGACCAAGAGGTCAGAGAGACCACAAGGTTAGAGAGACCACAAAGTCAGAGACCATGAGGTCATAGAGACCACTAGGTCAGAGACCACAAAGTCAGAGACCAAGAGGTCAGTGAGACCATGAGGTCAAAGACCACTAGGTCAGAGAGACGAAGAAGTCAGAGAGACCACAAGGTCATAGAGACCACAAGGTCATAGAGACCATGAGGAACAGAGAGACCATGAGGAACAGAGAGACCATGAGGAACAGAGAGACCATGAGGAACAGAGAGACCACGAGGTCAGAGAGACCACTAGGTCAGAGATACCACGAGGCCAGAGGGACCACGAGGCCAGAGAGACGATGTAGTCAGAGAGACCACGAGGCCAGAGAGACCACAAGGTCAGAGAGACCACAAAGTCAGAGACCAAGAGGTCAGAGAGACCACAAAGTCAGAGAGACCATAAAGTCAGAGACCAAGAGGTCAGAGAGACCATGAGGTCAGAGAGACCACTAGGTCAGAGAGACCACAAAGTCAGAGAGACCACTAGGTCAGAGAGACCACTAGGTCAGAGAGACCACTAGGTCAAAGGGACCACAAGGTCAGAGAGACAATGAAGTCAGAGACCACGAGGCCAGAGAGACGATGTAGTCAGAGAGACCACGAGGTCAGAGAGACCACGAGGTCAGAGAGACCACGAGGTCAGAGAGACCACGAGGTCAGAGAGCCAACGTCCTAATGCTCACTAGGAGTTTATATTCAGCAGGGAAACATTGACATATTCAAGAGGAAAAATCAGCTCAGGCTACAGATATAACCTGAATAAGATGGTGGAATCATGCTGATGATCATCTAGGAACTTTAATGACTGCATATGTGAGGCCAGATCTCAGCTAATTCTCCTGGAAAGGAGAAAACTTTCTCTTCCTGAGGTTTAGTTACACAAAAGCACAAGTTGCAGTCAAACGACTTAACAAAAGAAAACAAAGGTAGTTTAATGAAAGAATATTTGTTTTCGGTTCCTTTAGAAGATGAAATAAAAACACAGCACCGCAAAACAAAAACCTAGAACGATCTGTCAGAAGAAGAAAGCTCTCGGGCGCTGGACGTTCTTACTTGATGGCGTTGTAGATGTCCTCCAACATGTCCTGGTCAAAGTCCTGGTTTCCATTGACTCCCTTTAGATTTTTCTTGAATTGCTGTTTGGGAGGAAAGTTCAAACAAAAGTGGTCAGTCAGCGAATGTTCATCTACAGATGAGTGCAGTTCAGACAACAAAGCTTTTTATGGATGAGCCTCAAAGAGACATTGACGGAATCCATCTGCTTAGCAAAGCAGGCTGATAACCAGGAGGTTCCCCTGAATAAACATGACCACCTGGTGGTATCCGATAGCCTTCGGCATTAGCCTTATGCCCCGGTTGGTACCTGGGGAAAATGGAAGCTACTCTGCAGAGTTACAGAAAAATAAACACCAGGCAGAGAGGGTCAAACTGTTTAGAAGTTCACTGCCTCTTCATACCAATGATACAAGCCCCAAACACCGCAGACCTCTAAGGCTATCTTCACACTACAGGCCTTAATGCGCAATTGCGATTTTTTTGTGAAACTCCATTGGTTTTGGATTGCTGTTCATATTTCCAAATATATGCAACTTCTATGTGATCTGAATTCATACAACGTAAGTGTCCTGCATGCGCAGCAGAGGACACAATGACATCACAAGCCAAATTGCTCTGTGTTGACGGAAGTAAAAATGGATGGTAGTACTGGACAGCTCCGGTTAGCTTTCACAGTAAAGGTTTCACTAAGTTACTCCCCTTTGGCAGCTGCAGAGCTAGCCACTAATGGATGCAGCGCGGTGGAAGCTAATCTCTGTCCAACCAGCACAGTCATGGCTTTGCAGGTGGAAGCCACGCACATTACTCTATTCTCATTTTTTAACTACTTTATTAATCGTTCTGCCTTTTAGGGTCGATGTCTCTCCTAACAGCGAAAGACAATACCTGGATGGGTTATTCTAACCTTTATTTAGCCAGCCAGATCTTACACTAGAGACTCTAGATCTTCTGATTCTAAAATGGGTCAAGTGTGATGGCCGCGCACCAACATTACTACTCAGAGCCACGGATAGAACAGCTAAAATAAAGGTTAAAGTTCAAAAGGCTTTTTTGATTTCACTTCCTCCACTAACTGTCTGTCAGACCAGACAGCGGCTGTTTTTCCTAGAAATTCCATCAGAAACACCATAGGAGTTCAAGATATATAGAATATACTCAATGTATCTCGATTTTCCCAACGCACCATAGTTAAAATGACTATCACAGCATGCATGATGACATTAAGCTGTCTTCATCTATTTCACTGAGTTTTATTTTCCCCACACACTTTGAATGCATCATAAACCCCACCTCCAAATAGGACCCCATTTTCATCATTCTGCTTCATTCTATCTCTATTCTCCCACTCTACAGCATCTGTTAGTTCAATCTCTAATGTTCTGCTCCCACTAGGGGTACGTGTACTGGTCTAATTGAGCCCTTTATATACTGACCCCCCCAACTAATACCTCGCCACCCCTGTTTTAAAATTTCTAGCTCCACCACTGATGTCCCTACAGGCTTCCTTACCTCCACAGTCATAGGGATGTTCTGCTTGCGGACATTGTGGTTGTGCTGATCGGTGTTCAGCATGATCACAGCGTAGGCCAGAGCAAAGCCTGCATCATTGGTCATAAATGGAGATCCATTGACTTTCTGCAAAGAGGTAAAAGTTGATTAAAGGAAAAGTCCGTTCATATTCAGAATTCAAATTTCTGAAAGTACTTTAAATGTGAAATTATTGCATACTGTTCAATAAATAAGTGCTTTTAATTTTCACTTGAATGTGCTTTACTGGAGGCATCCATGTGTGTCAAAGAACACTACTGCCACCTACTGGTTAGTGACGTCACGGTGCGGTATCGGCTGTTGATCAAGTCCCAGTGCTGTATCTGGTGTTTGTCACAACGCGCTATTATCCAAGTCATCTTGAAAACATTCTTCTTCCAAATGTTGGCTACATATTACGTGTTTTTTCTCTGGGCAGAAGTTCAAATCCTCCCTCTTCAAGTTGGCGATCCAACGACGAACCCGTCCGTGGAGGATCAGGAATCAGAAAGGTGAAATAACTCATTTATTTTCACTTTTCCCCGATGTATTCCAACATCCAGCTGCCATGCACGTGGGCATTGTCAGTTTCACTATAGCTCTGGTGAATTTCAATGGTGAAGTCCTCTGGAAATCTTCAATAATTGTTGTTTATTGCAGATGTGTCTAGTAGTTCCCATTGATTCTGCTTGTAAAGCGGGGAGAATGGCGCTAGGCTTACCGCACCGTGACGTCACTGCTGGAAGATGGCAGGAGGGAGGGGTTACTATATTTGGGCAAAAATGGCCGCTCCCAGACTCAAGGCTGATTTATACTTTGAAACTAGGTCGTCTGTCTACGTGTCAGACTCAGTAGCAACGACGATAATTATTATTTTACTGTTTAATGCAAAATTCTTTAAATCACTGCAAACGTATTCGTTTTAGGTATAAATAATGATCCATTGATTATTCCTTGCTGACCGGACTTCTCCTTTAAAACAAGCATCTTTTCTGAGTGAAGTTATGGACAGAGGAGCAAGAACTTTTACTCAATTAAGAGAAGATTCCTTCTTCATATGTTTACTCAGCTAAGATTTGAAAGAAAACCAGCCAGACTCACGTGCCAGTTGTCTGTAAACGTCTCCAGGAGCCTCTGAATGACGGGAGCCTCTCCAGGGAGCCTGAAGGCCTCCAGGTAGAGCCGCAGGGCCTCATCAATGCGGAGCCCCTGGAAGGTAAACGTGCTGAAAGCAAACAGGCCCCCGTTAGGTGGAGCATTGAACGAGTGTTCAGACGGCAGACAGACTTTTTATCTTACTTCACAAAGCTGTCCAGGAGCTCCATGTTCTTTCGGTCGCTGATGTACTCCCCAATCATCTTTTTGTCCAGACGCGGGTTTTCCCGCAGCCACTGCGCCACCTGCTTGGTGTCCAACGGGTCGCTCAGCAGGCCTTTCTCCTGGAGGAACTGGATCCCCTTCTTCGGCTTCTGGTTGAACTGCTCGGTCCCTGTGATGAGAAGCTGAACAAAAGGTAGAACAAATGTAGCTCTGGATTGAATGAGAAAGAAGAGCCAAACTAATCCCAATCCTTTACTTTCTTCTTGGTCCTGATCTCCATCAGCTGCTGCGGATCCGGCAGACAGGAAGAGAAACGGGGGGGCTTTTTAGTTGCCTTCTTCTCTGCTACAGAAACAAATTCAGGTCACCAAGGGTTAACATTTCCAAAAATGCTTTTGTTTTTTTATTCAGCTTTTAGGAAGCCTCACCAGTTTCAGCGTCTCCGTGGTCGTCTCTGCCCAGATTCATCTTCCCCGCCATGAGGTATCCACTGGTAGGAGGATACCCCGACGCCTGCAGGGTGTGCGGACAGCTGTTGGGAACACCGGGATCTGGAGGAAAACAATGTCATAATGTTCATTTTAATGGTATTAGCTTTGGCTTGTTCATAAGAACAAAGAGCGAACTACCTGTGATCAGGTCTGTTCCATTAGACGACGATCCTTCTGCTAGCAGCGTGTCTGACTGATCCTGCTGGGCCATGCTAACCACCTTGGACTGGCAGTGGGCTTCAATGCTGTCAATGACAGTGAGGAGGGCCTCCAGAGACAGCAGGTGGGTGGTGTAGAGCTGTCCCGACACAGGGAACGCGTTCTGAGAGGGCGACAAACAGAACAAGCCTGCATGACGATTCAATTCAGTTTATTTACATAGCGCCAATTCACAACACGTCATCTAAAGGAACTTAACAGTTCAACCAGATGATCCAGTCAAATTGATTCAAAGTTTTCTATCTAAGGAAAGCCAGGTGATTGCATCGACTCATTGACTCTTCAGCAATCCCTCACACTAAGCATGCTTGTAGTGACAGTGGAGAGGAAAAACTCCCTTTTAACAAGAAGAAACCTCCAGCAGAACCAGGCTCAGTGTGAGCGGCCATCTGCTGAGACTGACTGGGGTTCAAGGAGACAGAAGCAGACATAGAAAAAGACGCAGAGATACGAAAGGCAACACCGAACTAAAAAGCCTGAAATATTTGAGCTGGTGAGTGAAAAGATCTGCTAATCAAATAAGATTGTTTTACCTCAAATAAGACGAAAGACATCTTATTCTAGCAGCAGAATATAAAACTATCCGATTTCAGGGACCAGAACGTTACTGACTGGCTCAAAGGAAGGACGTATGGAAAGTCTGACATCGTTTTAGATCCTGTTCTATGGTGCAGAATAGGAACGGACAAATAAATCGAAGAGCAGCAGGAGGGGGAAAAAACGTTCAGATATAAAAACATCCAAAGTTTCATGACTTGTTCTTTTCAAGCAGATTGACAGAATGAGTAAAGGGCTGGTTATCCTCCTGCAGCAGTGTGTCGCAGTGAGCTTGTTGCAGATATTTTTGATTCATGCCCAACATTGAGGCTCTTGGTCTGCACTATGTTATTCCACACCACAACGCAAGACGGACAATCAGGAACTAGCTGTGGGTCTAGATACGGCAGAGGCAGTGAGGAAGTGGGGGAAAGTTTGTGCGACAACGGAGGGACATGAGGGTGAAAAAGAGAGGGGATCCAGGTGGAAAAAGGGTCCCAGCACCTCGCTCTTCTAGCTGGTCCATCTTCATGAGTCGTTTTCCACAATGGCGGTCATACAAACAAAACAAGCCGGTAAGGTACCAAACAGAAAATAAGCATAGAGTAGAGCAGATGTAGATTTGACCAATCAGAGGCCTCCTGTCTGCTGTCACCTACAATTTTGGGGAGCTGCAGCAGAGTGTCTGCGGAGGGGGGAGCATATCTGCGTTAACTGTGACACACATGCAGACGACCTGGTTTCTGAGTATAAATCAGCCTTTAGGCTACGTTCACACTGCAGGCCTTAAGGCTTAATTCCAATTTTTTTGTGAAATCCCTTTTTTGTTGCATTGCCGTTCACATTTCCAAATATATGCGACTTGAATGTGATCTCCTGTATGAACAGCATTCACACAGCTTAGGTGTCCCGCATGTTCAGTAGAGGACGCAATGACGTCACAAACATACGTGCTCTGTGTTTACAGAAGTAAACATGGACGGTTAGTGCTGGAGAGCATCTAGCGTTTCTCCCTCATTTCAATAAGAAGGAAATCCACCTCTTTGCACCAAAAAGCTTTAGGCTTGATGGATGCAGCTTCAGGAGCATCGTTGGATACACTATGTTATGTGTTACCTTGGACAGCATCTTGGTGAGGTCTTCGAACAGATTGGAGCAGTAGAAGTCACAGTCATAGTTGATGTAGAGCTCAGTGACGAAGCTGGGGATCCTCCAGAGCTGGACCAGAGCCTCCAGACCCATCTCCTTCATCTCATAGGGCATCTTGGCGTTCTCTGATGTGATGATGTCCATCAGTTTCTTCAGATACATCTGCCATGTCAGCGCACAGTTCGTTAGATTGCTGAACATATATTTTCCCTGATTAGAGCAGGGAAGTAAAACTGTTTGCCAAATGAATAAGGTGATTTAGATTTTTGGCTGTTAGCTTCCAACCTTTGGCAGATCATTTTATTCATCAGCAAACACTCATTTTAAAGGAAAAGTCCGCTCATATTCAGAATTCAAACTTCTGAAAGTACTTTAAATATAAAATTATTACATAATGTTCAATAAATGATACGTTTTTTCATTAAAAGTAATTTTCATTTGAATATGCTTTACTGAAGACATCCATGTCTGTCATAAGATATCGGCTGCAAATGTTGGCTACATATTACCTGTTTTTTCTCTGGCCAGAAATTCAATGGGAAATCCTCCCTCTTAAAGTTGGCAATCCAACGACAAACCCACCCGTGGACGATCATGAATCGGAAAGGTGAAATAACTAATTTTTATCACTTTTACCCGATGTATTCCAGCATCCAGCTGCCATGCACGTGGGCATTGTCAGTTTCACTACAGCTCTGGTGAATTTCAATGGTGAAGTCTTCAATAATGCTACGTTCACACCGCATGTACCAGAGGCAGCAGAAGCAGCTAGTTTACCTGCTAAATCAATGGTTGACGCGCATCTTGGTGCAGCAAAAGGTCCTGCAGCGCATCTGAGTAGCTCAAGCAACGACTCATGAGCTTCTGAGCATCTGACGTGCTGCATAAGCAGCAGCTGCTGGAGTTGGAAAAATTGAACTGCTGAACGCGCCACATCAACCAATCAGAGAAGCTGATCTGGAAGCTGGCAGGGAGACAAACACAGCACTGCTGATGCAGAAAACTATGACCACTACTCTGAAACTGTTTATTAATGCCTAAATTAACTTAAAATGTTGAAAAGTGCCGACAAAACATGTTAAATTTTATTATCCCGGTGCCTCTCAGTTTAAAATACCGAAGTGAAAAAGGCCTTCAGGCCGCTGTAAACAGTAGCGGAAAACCCCGAAGAGGCGACCAGGCCAGAGGCTGCTGTTGAAAGGGATTCCCAGTGACAGCGCACCGCTGGTTTGTGGCGGTCTGAGCGGCTCCGACAGAAATAATATTGAAGGAAGGATGGTAATCTGGATGAACTGACTGCACTGACCATGTTTTCAGGACTTTCTTACTTTAAAATAGGTTCAAACTACTTTTTACCCGCTGATCACAGCAAATATAGCTGCCATTGTCACAGGCATAGAAACGATAACGTAGCTCCGCCCAACACGCATCAGACCTACTTTTTGACCTCGTAGCTGGAGCAGCAGAGATGCTCCAGCCACGCGCCAGAATTAAACTTGTACAAGCATCAAAAATGAAGCAGCAGGCACGTCTTTGCTGGTCGCGGTCTGAATGTAATGTAGATTGCAGATGTGTCTAGTAGTTCCCATTGATTCTGCTTGTAAAGCGGGGAGAATGGCGCTAGGCTTATTGTTTTAATTTTTTACCATTTAAGGCTAAATTCATTAAATCCCTGCGAATGTATTAGTTTTAGGTATAAATAATGATCCATTGATTATTCCTTGCTGACCGGACTTTTCCTTTCAATAAGGCACTGGTTGGATAGCAGATTTTGCAGAGAATATTGAAGATCTTTACCTCTAGCTGGAACTTCAAATGTTCCCTCATGCTTTCAAAAAGCAGGAAGCAAACTCGCATGGAAGAAGCATAGAGGTTCATCCGCTCCACACTCAGCAGCTGCAACACAGATCAGATGATGACCAAGGATGTTCAGCCTTCCTCCTTCTAATGACTCAAAATAGAGATTAGTTCAAAACAAGCAGAAAGGCTCACAGATCTACGCTTTAACTGAATCAAACGTCTGGCTGAAGATATATTTCATGTCCGGGAAGAACGGAGAAAGATGGTTTTACCTGAAACAGATGCCTGCAGAGCTCATCTTTCACTAGGACTAGTAACGACTGGTAATTCACGATGTGTGAAGACTCCAGCGCCACCGTCAGAAGCTGCAGGCCCATGTGGATCATAGCGTCGGTGTTATGGCGGTCGTGAGGGTTGGTGAGGGAGATCAAAAAGCGGAAAAGTTCCCGTAGACATGGCAGGCCGTACGGAATGAGGGCAACTCCTGCAGGACAGAGCAAAAAAATAAATAAAAACCTAAAAGAAGAAGAGGGGATGAAGATAAAGCTCCTGCCGGCCTCACCGTCTTTCTGGGTGGACTGAGTGAACCGGACTCCACGAGGGTTCACATACTCCATGTCGTGGACAGACGTGGTATCCGAGGAGTCTTTGTCGTCCAGAACTTCAGGGATGGATTCTACAGAAACGGCCTGCGTCGCGTCAGCCTGCCCCCCCTCAGACTGCACATGACAGGAACACGGATTAGAACCCCGCCCCCTGCCAGAACGGATCACGTTTAACGGTAGACACTCCACCTGTGCGTGAGAAGAGCCGGATTCGGTAGCGGGCAGCGAGGTAGCAGAGCAGGGGGGGTTTACAGGCGGCTGCTCCAGGTCAGAGAGATCTTCCCTGGAGGTGGCTTTAGAGCCCGGATCCAGACCGCTGTCTGTGGCTGTGGGGCTGCATGTGGAGGAGCCGGCGCTGTCTGAGGCGGCGAGGCTGGAGGTAGAGGAGCCCTGCTCCATAAACGGGACGCCGCCTAGAGAAACCAGGTAGAGTCAGACAGGAAACCACAGAAACAACCCGGATCCGTAATCCTACATGCTTTCTGGGTGTTACCTGACCCTTGATGCTTCTAGCCCTCATTTAAGCCTTTTTTATTCTCTGTTCCTCTAACTTCATGACAAACACAGAGTGAGAGATCTATTTATATATATTTGTGTATAAATGTGTTTGTGTATATTAAATATATATATAAACAATATAAAAATGTATGAGTGGCAGTGCTTTTCAACAAAAATCTGAATTTTCTATTACCCTTAACCCCACTAAGAATATTTAAATGCACTGAACTATTTCTTTGTTTTCAGCAAAAAAATAAAATAAAAAATACAGAACATTAGTTCAATATTCAGAAAGTTAAAGTTGATTAAAATTGATTCTGTGCTGCTCAACACATTACACCGAGTGGAGCCGTCAACCGCCCCAAGATGGCGCCACCAAACCAAGTCTGAGCTCATGGGTGAAAGCGATCGATGCAGGGTCTACTGTCTATGGTTACAGCAGGAAAGGCATGAACTTTGACCCTGGAAGTTTTTTTTTCCTGTTTTCTTTCCAAACAGAAGCCTGAATGCACCTGAAACAGAACTTCATCCTGATTTAGGCAGCGTGTTGTTTAAAACACCATGAAACAGCCTGCTACGCTGCTAGCATAAAAATCTTATTGAAACACAAAGCGTTCACATGTGTTACCTAATCACAGGAGGCACTAGTGCTGTGATGACTCATGTTATTCACCTGAGAGGTTGTTGCTGAGGCTGCTGGGGTTTCCTGGGTCTGAGGGACTCTGGAGCAGGTGGCGAGGCGGCCGAGGCGAACGTTTCTGCTTCTTCCATTTGGACGACTCGCTCATCCCTCCAGCACGCATCTTTAGCTGAACACAATCAGTGGAAATCAGTGAAACCAGTGAATTTCCAGGCATGGCTACAGCAAATATATCAATCCTCCAACAACCAACAAAAACACACGTCAGCAAAACGTGGCTGAGCTTCCAACGTAAGAGCTGGTCTTTGAACGAGGCAGCTTAAAAAACAAACTAGTTAGCAGCTAAAGTGGAAACTGGATAAAACTGCATCAAAATCTATAAAAACAGGCTGGGATTAAAAGAGCTCCTTATGTTGGTGGAGATTCTCAGTCATCAAGGTCACAGTCATTCCAAAAAAGAAAATTAAAAACAATCCACTGGATTTTGATTCCAACTTTAAATGAGTGAATTAAGTGAATGTGATTGGTTTTTTATCAAGGGGGCGGGATTGTTGTGGCGGAAGTAAGTTTGATTGTGGCCGGTTTGTCAGAAGCATCTTGCTAACCAGTTAGCAACTTAGTGCTAGTAGGTTCGCAATGGGAAATTCCATTGGAACCAAGTAGCACTAAATTAGTGACTTAGAAACGACACTGTCAAGGAACGCTATGGACAGAGGAAACATGCAAGAGGAGGAGAGTTTAGTGTCGGAGGTCGTGGATGAGTCTCCTCCATCATCCATTTTTATTTAGAGGAGGAAAGCGGGACGAATATGT